CCAGCTCTTTTTTATTTTCTCAACTTTACTTTTTAAATTGGTACATATTTATCGTACATACTGATTGCATTCATCATAGGGAATTTATACCTGTACCTAATATATCTTAGTTCTTTTTTGGTAATATTTGTAAAAGTGAATTTTGGAACAGGCCCCCTAGAAAGCCCTTTCCTGTGGAACGTGTTTGTGCATATTCAAAGTGTGGTGAACTGTTTCTTTATTAGCCATAAAAAGTTTTGAATGCAGATAATTTAAAGAGAAATTTAGAGAAACATTTCTATTCTGTATTAAGTAAATTATGTTAAAATAGTATATAATAATTTGAGTACTACTGCTACTTGAATATAGAAGGGGACTGAATAATTTTACATGGGACAAAAAAATTAGAGATAAAATTAGCCTTTGACTTGCTAATTTAGTTTGCACTCAGATACCCATGTGGTGTAAACTTTAATGCTATAAGGTTAATATTTCAGTTTCACAAAAAATATTTTTTCATATGTATATAGTGTTTCCTCAATTCTTTCAAGGCTGAGACTGTATTTTATAATTTATATTTTTCGTATAACTTTTTATACTTGAAATGGTATTTGTTAAACAGTCATTAAAAAGTTAGCAGATGAAAAGATTTATTTTAAGGGAGTCATTTTTAAAGGTTAAGCCTATGAATTTAAGGAATAGTGTAGCATTCTGGAAAGAGCATGTGATTTCTCCAACAAACCTGTATATATCGTGGTTTAGTTATGTTTGTGAACTGAGGAAAGTGTTTTATCTTTTCTTTCTTTCTTTTTTTAGTGTTTATCTTTTCTGAGGGTTGATTTCCTCTTCTGTAAAATGGAGCTAGTACTTAACTAATAGGTAGTGGGCTGATTTAAATGTGATTGTGTAGGGAAAGCACTTGGCACATACGCAGATTCAGTAAAGAGTAATCATTCTTCTTCTTCTGTACTATATTTTACAACTGTCTGTGAGTACTTCTCAAGGATTTTTGATGGCAGTTACTGTAATAAATGTTTTTGGTCATCACTCAAAACAAAAGTTGGTACAATATTATTTACTCTCCTACCTAAAATAAACTCTGTGTTCTGTTGTACAACTAAAAAAATTGCCACTAAAAATTACTTTCATGGTTCATTAATGAGTTGCAACCCTGATTTGTAAAGCATGAGCCTACATCAGCATCTTGTAACACAGTACTCTAGTTGACGGTTTTAATCATATAATGACTCTGGGATAAATTAGATTTTATACTGTATGGGGACTGTATGTTAATTTTAGGCTTACTGTGTTAGTTAACATTAGGTTAGCAAGGAAAATTACTGAGTGTACTTCTTTACCATTACAGGTATTTAAACTCTATGCTAATAAAGAGTGATGTATATGACTTTTTTCCTCAATGATCAGATTATGTCTCCTTAATTTTTTTTATTTTAAAGAAAATAGTACAAAAAAAGAACAATAGCAAAATACAAACAAAACAATGCAAGGACTTTAAAAATGATATGGGGTTTCAAACCAAATGATAGGGATTAACAGTGGTTGTTATATTACATATTTTTATTTTCAATGAAGTTGCTTAGATTACCAGATGTAAGAATAGATTGATAAAACATTAAAGAGAATAAGAAAATAATAATTTAAAAGAACATTAGCGACAATACATAGTTTCACTAGACAAGATTGTAGGAATTCACCAGTGGTTGTTATGCTGCAAATGGTTGTTGTCGCGTAAGGTGCTCAGATTACCAGATGTAAGCATGCATTTTTGCCTGGCTCCCAAGCTTGTGTCTTCCTAATCTTTTTGGTAGCATTCCTATGAAGTAGATTGGAGCAGATGTTATTTTACTAATGGAGGTATCTAGAGAGAGGAAGATTATGGTAGAAAATCTTGTCAGTTAACTTATAGACTAGAACTGACAGATTTAGTGTTCAGTATTCTGCCCATTTATTCAGTCTAAAAATGGTTGCAAGGGTTTTATTTACATCTTGTAAATTTCAGCCAGAATAGACATTGAAGTACCTTCCCACGATAACTAGAATTGGGGCTTGCCACCATGGGTTAGAAGTGACCCACTGGCACCGTTGGTAAGAATAAGACCTTTGACTATTTCAAAATATGTGAAGTGTCATTTTGCAACACTAAATCATGTCTGAAACCCTTTTCTTCTCTTTCTGTAGGGCTTCATATGTCCCCAGTGTATGAAATCTCTTGGATCTGCTGATGAGCTTTTCAAACACTACCAGGCAGTGCACGATGCTGGCAATGATTCAAGCCATGGAGAGGCTGAGCTTGCTCTGAAACGGTACGTAGCATGATGGTTCTGAAGGGCGGTACTGCTATGGGTGTGCACGTGACACCATTGATTAGTCATGATTAGTTTCTGAAAATAGTAATGTTTTACTATTATTTGATGTAAAATCTCAATCTGACTTAATTTAGCATGGGCTTTCTCTCTTATCATTATCAGTCTATGACTGGGAACTGTCTCATTTGCAACATGGTACATAGATTGTTTTTAGCTATAAAATTATGTAGAAAGCATCATTTTATAGTAAGTTGTTAAAATAATAAGTTTAGTCAAGAATTACAATTTGATTAAAAAACTCATAATCACCAGAATAATAAGCACATGCATTGTTTTTCCTGGCAGTTTAGTTTGATCACACTGATTGATTGATTGATTGATTGACTGAGATAGGGTCTCATTCTGTAATTCAAACTGGCCTTGAACCCATCATGTAGCCCAGACTAGCCTCAAACTCACAGAGGTCCTCCTGCCTCAGCCTCCTTAGTGCTGGGATTATAGGTGTGTACCACCACACCCAGCTTTGACCACTTTTAAAACTAAAATTAAGCTAAAATATGTAACTACTTAGAGCAGACTTCAACAATGTAACTTTGCTTTTCTTTTGCTATTGTTGAAAAGATTAATTTTTAATGTTTATTTCGTTCTACTTATAAAATATTTTTCATGCTTTTTAAAAAAAACAATTCTTTGTTGATGTATCTGCTATAACATAAAAAATACTAAATAAAAGTATTATGCTTTTATTAACTTTCTGGTTGATACATAACATAGAACTATATATATATATATATATTTTTTTTTGTTTTTGGTTTTTTTTTTTCTTTTTCCTTTTTCTCACTATTGGGAATTGAAGCCAGGGCTTTGTGCATGCCTGGGCAGGTGCTCTGCCCCTGAGCTACATATGTCCCTAGATGTTTTAATTTTGGTTTTTGAGACAGGGTCTCACTAAGTTGCCCGAGTCTAGCTTAGAACTTGGATTCCTCTTGCCTCAGCAAGGACAGGTTGTTTCTGTGGTTTGTAATCCAACAGGAGAAGATGTTTTTGATATCCAGAACGATAATCCTGAATGTGTTTTTTCCTGCAGCTTCTCTCCTGCATTCAGGCTTAGCATGGTTTACTTAACTTTTTTTATTTTTTCACTCTGAGTCTTAGATAAGGGGAGCAGAATAGGAGAAGTTTCTAAAGGCAGAGCTTTTATATTCAGAATAGGAATAGCCAGTGTTGCTAGAGCTGCGTGAATAAGAGAGAGAGTGAGTTGTAAGACAGGAACCAGATAGATCTACCGGTGTTGGAGTCCTTGGTGATGAGTTTAGATTTGACACTAACCGCAGCAGGAAGCCATTGAGACTTACTGTTGGTAAATTAGTAGAAGACATTTTGCTTTTGCTTCAGGTACTTGACAATCAATTATTTGATTATCTCCATGAAAAAATGTTTGTTATTTATAAACCGTGAGCTTTAGGAATAGAATTATTTTTAAGATATGTATGTATGTATCATTATACAGGAAATCTTTAGGAGTACTTTTATAAGAAATGAGAAAATTGTTTAGAGTTATTGTTTATTAAGAGACCCAGTTAAAAACTAAAGGGCATTAACTGTCACTCCACCCCCCATTCATGTTTAGAGACGACATAACACTGCTCCGGCAAGAAGTCCAAGACCTACAGGCTTCGCTTAAGGTAAAATTAAAAATGATTGTGCTTACTTATTTTCAGTGTTTCACATAAGATGTCTGTTACAATTTACTAATTAAAACTTTTTTCTTTAGGAAGAAAAATGGTACTCAGAAGAATTAAAGAAAGAATTAGAAAAATATCAAGGGCTGCAGCAACAAGTAATTGCTTTTTACATACTTGAAGCATGTTTACTAGTTGTTTATTTTTTTAGTGAAAATTAAGTCTAATACCTTTTTGTAAGTAAGTAGCCTAATATAAATAACTTACTAATTTGTTTCCCTGTAAGTTCTTTGTAATTTTAATTACTGGAAATAGTCACACTGGAAAGGAAGCTGTAACTTCTTAAAGATATTCCATTAAGAATCATTTACCTGTTTTTTTAAAATACAGACTTACATTATTCTGTTTTTCTGGCAGTGTATGTAAATGGTTAAAAAATACAGATTCAAGTAATAGTGAATCTCTTCAAAACATGCTTTTGAATTGGAAATAACTATAATGTATATTCGTAGGGAAAGAAATGTTCGCTGTTTATATTAGTGACAGTATCTGTGTTAGTGAAGAATTTCTGAAAACATGGGAAAACTGTTCTGCTGACAATGTTAGGTTTTTAAAAAGCCGAATAAAAATATATGTATGGTGCACACATGTTCTCACACGCATACAGTCCTGTGTCTTAATATGGGCATACATTCTGAGAAATCTGTTGTTGGGGGACTTCATTGTTGTGCAGATATTACAAATTTCAGTTGCATAAAACTAGATGGTACAGCCTGCTACACACAGGCTTTATGGTGTAGCCTGTTGCTCTCGGGGTACACACCTATACGTCATGTTACTCCACCGAGAACTGTAAGTAGTTGTAACATAATGGTGTTTGTGTGTCTAAACATAGAAAAGGTACAGTAAAGACACGATATGAAAGATGAACACTTGTATATGTGTTTAGAGGGCACTGCTGTGAGTGGAGCTCCCAATAATTGGCAATTGCTCTGGGTGAATCAGTGGGTCTCTGTAACTTTTTCCTCTTTTAACCTTTTAATCTTTTGATGTGTTTTGTTTTGTTTTGTGTTTTTGAGACATGCTCTCACTATGTAGTCCAGGCTGGCCTCGAACTTGCTTGCATCCTCCTGCTTCAGCTTTCCAAGTGCTGAGATTATAGGTACACAGTACAAGGCTTCACTCTTTTTTCTTTTTTGTTTTTGACAGGGTCTTGCTATGTAGTTCAGGCTGGCCTTGAACTCACTATGTAGCTGAGGGTGACTTCAAACTCACTTTGATCCTCCTGCTTCAGCTTCCCCATGCTGGGATTACAGGCATATGCTACCATGTCAGTCTTTTTTTTTTTTTTTTTTTTTTTTTCCGGTATCGGGAATTGAACTCATGACCTTGCACTTGCCAGGCAGGCGCTGTGCTGCTGAGCTAAATCCCTAGCCCCCGTGTCAGGCCTTTTAATCTGTTAAACTTTTGGATTCCTGTATACCTAGTTTAATACAAATACACTGCCAGGGCTTTTTGTATGTTAGTCAAATGCTGAGCCACTGAGCTACACCTCCAGTCCCTAAAACCTTTTTTTTTAATGTGGTAATAGTTCAATGGCACATTTTTGCTTATGCTAATTTTCAATATTATAGGTGCTTTTTGCAGTTACGATAATGGGATGATCAAGGTCTGATTTCACAAATTAGATGGTTTATTGCCTCACAAAGAAATTTTTTTAGGTTCACAATGCCTAAAGAGGCACCGGATAACATGAACAAATCTCATAGATCTGTCTATAAGGGTAAGATGAACAAGTCTCACAGGGAATACATTCACCATATGAGTTATATTAACCATGCAGTGAGTGAGCTTGGAAGCCATTCAAGTCTGATGACTCACTTATGGTGGAAGTGGGCTCGGGGGAAGAAAGTGAAGTCTGATTATTGAAGTCTCAGGTGAACCTTTACAAACAGTTTCCTAGGAGCGACACTTTTCAACTCTGGAGAGAGCTTTGACATTAGGAACCCTTGTCCCTAGAGGCGTGAAGGCATTGGTGGGTATGACTTGAGAGTTCAAAGGCTAGCAGGGTATGGCCCTATTATAGCTTGAGTTGTGAGTCTTCCAGAAGCAGTCCACAGACAGCTGCCTGCCATGGCTCAAGTCCCAGTAGCTGTCAAATTCAATTTTAAGTCCATTCGTTGTGATCATAGCTCACATATGGAGTATGATAAGGTTTGAAGTCACGTTCTTAAGAGGAGGGGCATTTTATTATTTGTTCCAGCACTTACAGGATTTAGGATGCCATCTGCTATAAGACCCATAATAATGGTTTTATGTGCATTAACATATGAAAAAATCTTCCTTCAGGACTGACTGGTGAACTGCATTTAAATCATTACGCATCTGCCTGGTGGCACATTAGGATCCAGAAGAATAACTACCAAACTTGAATTTCCACCAGAATTTTGCTACTTGGCATGCCATTGTCAGAGCCTGGATTTTCACAGCCTGACTTTCAGACATGTTTAACATTGGCAACTGTATGGTGTTGTCGTCTTCCTTTAATGTATTTGTTTGTGTCCCTTGTCTTTATTTAGGAGGCTAAACCTGATGGTTTGGTGCCTGATTCATCAGCAGGTAACGTAAAACATGTGGCACATATTTCATGTTTCTCTTATTTCTCATCCCATTTTTTCTCGATCACTGCTAAAGGAATGTTGTTTGTAGTTTTACTTTTTGACTCTAAAATAGTAGTGATGATGCTCATATTCTAGGGTTAGAAAATCACCTGTGCACTTCGTAATCCCATTAGCTAACTAAAATCTTGCGTTTTTTTAGTTCCTTGTATTCTGAAGTTAGCAGTGAACTTCTGGAATATTGTGTCAATATGATCACTTAATGAAAATTTAATTCCGTATTAAAGAATTGTAGTCTTTGACCTTTGAAGTAAATTGATGGGAATTTACTAGCATCTACATAACTATTTAAGTGGACAAAAGCTCAGTGAATAGTCAAAATTATATTTTGAGATTAGCTGTTACATTTAAGAGATCTCTTTTTATCAATTTTTTTTTGAGACAAGGTCTAACTGTGTAGTGCAGGGTGGCTTTGAATTTGCTTATGTAGCCCAGGCTGCCTCGAACTCACGGCTGATCCTCCCGCCTCAGCCTACTAAGTGCTGGGATTACAGGTGTGCACCACTACTCCTGGCTAAGAACTCTCTTTTTAAAAAGAGAATAAAGTAGGAGAAAAATATATTTCTTTTTGGTTATTTGATGGATATAGAAAAATAACTGAAATATGAAGTCAGGATAACTTTTAAAAATAGTTATATATTATTTGGAGGTGATTCAGAATGTTCATTTATGTTTATAAATTATGATTTGTACCTTAAATGAATGAGATATACTTAACTCTTCTTCTTTTATTTTTTAATTTTTTTTGTCTTTTTGGACAGACAGGGTCTTGCTATGCAGTTCAGGTTGGCCTTGAGCACACTTTGTAACCCCGGGCTGGTCTCGAATTTGTAACAATCCTCCTGAGTGCTGGGGTTACAAGCATGCGCCACCATGCCTGGATTACTTAATTCTTTTATTTTCTGAGACAGGGTCTTGTTGTGTAGTTCACTCTGTAGCCCAGGCTGGCCTTGAACTCGAGGCACTCGTTCTGCCTTAGCCTCCTGAGTGCTGGGGTCATAGATGTGTGTCACCACCCCTCGCCCAGATGTGCTTAATTCTTGAAATGTGAGAGTGTTATACTTGTAGGATAATGAACTCATGCTGTCTTACTGCTACAGTGATTATAAGTAATAACAATTTAGTATATGTAATTGACATTGTATTTAAATCACTGCTGTATTTTTTTGTGTAGAACTACAGTCTTTGGAACAACAGTTAGAGGAAGCTCAGACAGAAAATTTTAATATTAAGCAAATGAAAGATTTATTTGAACAGAAAGCAGCCCAACTTGCTACTGAAATTGCAGGTAAATCGAATCAGACTTTTTTAGCCAATAAATCAGTCTTGTTACATTTTCATCCATATGCATCCTTGGGGGGAAAAATCCCCAGTATTTTAGTGTAATAAAGTACTTATTATAGACTATAGTGATGATTAAGGGAATTTAATGATTTAGAAGCTTTATAAATTTTTTTTTCCGTAATTATATAATATAGTAGAGATTTAACATTTGGGTATGATTTCAATTACTTATACTTTTTTTTGAGACATAGTCTCACTATGTAATTCAGGCTAGCCTTGAACTCACTGTGTAGTCAGGCTGGCCTTGAATTTGCAGCAATCCTCCTGCCTCAGCCTCCTGAGTGCTAGGATTATAGGCATGTACCACCATGCCAGGGTACATGTTGTATTTTTATTGTATTTTATTGTATTTATTTATGGTTTTTTGAGACAAGGTCTTGCTATATAGTTCAGTTTGGCCTTGAACTCACTGTGTAGCCTCAACTGGCCTCAAACTCATGATGATCATCTTGCCTCAGCCTCATGAGCGCTGGGGTTATAGACCTGTGCTGCCATGCCTGGCTTATGTTGTAGTTTTAAATACTATGTTCTTCTGGGTAAAATACTGAGTTTGATCAACCTACATTGAAATGCTATTAGTAACTTAGTGTTCGGTAAAACTTACTTATTTTAGTTTTTTAAATTTGTGTTAGTGTAGTGCATAATGATTGCATTCATCATGGGGAGTCGGTACGTGCACGTAACACACCTTCATTCTTTTTATTTTCCTTTCCTTCCCATTTCTCCTCCCTTTTCTCTCTTTTTTAGTGGGTAGAATTTATGTAGATAAAAATGCAGTTATTTCAAAGTTTATCTAATGTAATCAGAAGTACAATTTTATTGTGTATATTTATGGTTTTTTGAGGAATATGTATTAAAATTAGAGTGAAGTATGGATATCGAGAATAATATACAAGGATTTATAAAAGTTTCTTTCCTTAAAGTTAATGTTACGAAGCAAGTGTTTGTATTACTTTCTTTAATTAGATGTTAAGTCAAAGTATGATGAAGAAAGGAGTCTTCGGGAAGCTGCTGAACAGAAGGTGACACATTTGACAGATGAATTAAACACAGGAGCAGCCGTCATTCAAGATCTGAAGACTGAACTGGTAATTTAGGAGCCTCTTACTGAAATTACTTTTATACCATTCTAAATTAAGCAAAAATACATACTTTGAATAAATTTTTAAAAATAGAAATAAAAAATTTCCTGTATTATGTTATCTATACGTACATACTATATGTGATCTTCTATAGAAATGGACTGTGGTACATAGTATTACCTTAACAATTTTGTGTTTCTGACTATTTATGTCTTCTAAATGTTTTCCGTATACCCTGTGACCCTGACGTCCCTTGCACTTTGTTTTATAAATCCGCCTGCTTCCCGGTGAATTCCTTTCGTATTTCTGTGATTGATACCCTGCTTCCACACTCTCCTCAGGCTTACAGACCTCTCATCCATCCTTCAGTTTCTTTCCTCTCTTTAGCGTTCAGTAAGCGTATGAACACATGAATCAAGTACGTGCAGCCTGCTGCAGACCCTTTCCCTTCCACCCCTCCCTCCATTTAGTGTTTCTCTGTAATGTATAATGTGTGCCTTCACAGCTTCAGAGACCTGGTATAGAAGATGTTGCTGTGCTAAAGAAAGAACTGGTCCAAGTTCAAACACTAATGGATAATATGACCTTGGAGCGTGAGAGAGAATCTGAAAAACTCAAAGATGAGTGCAAAAAGTTACAGACCGAATATGCTAACTCAGAGGTAATGAACTGTGATCGATAGTATCATATTACTGACCAAAGCCAAAATTTGAAAGTTATCTTAGTGGCTTATTTTTTTGTTAGTCCCTGTTGATAATACATGATGAATACATTGGTTGTAGGGAGTTGGTACATGTATCTATTGGATCTTTATCCTTTTTACTTCCTTTCTGCCCTCCCTTTGCCTTTGTTATTTGATCTGAGTAATGAGCTATAGTCATTATGATCTGGTAGTCAGTATTGTTTACTTTTGCTTTAAAAAACTAGATACTTGGAATGCTTGCACAGTACTTGGTTTAATAAATGAGATGTATGTGGAGAGATGATTTTTATTTTATTTTATATATTTTTGAGACATGGTCTTGCTCTGCAGTTCGGGCCAACCTTGAACTCATTGTGTTGTCCAGCTGGCCTTGAACTTTTGGCAGTCAGCAGGGAGAGATGATATTTAAAGTTAAATTTACTCACAGGTAGTTTATAAATGGCAATTGAGTTTACCTCAGGTAGGAGTAAAAGGAGAATGGTATTATTTTGTACAATGTTACTAGTGTTGTTTAGGAAAAATATTTAGGAAATATTTATTTTCTAAAAAGCTTATTTCTAGTTGATAGACACTGAATTATGTAGTTGAAAGACGTCTTAAAATGATCTAGTCTAGCACTCCATCCGAGACTCACCTTTATAGCAGCCCTGATGCAGTCTGCAGTTCTTGCTGGGACATAGGTGCTGCATATGTTTTCTTCAGTCTGTCATTCTGTTGAATAACACGTGTCTCCTTGTAACCACATGCCTTTAGTTTTCTTCTCAACAATTACATAGGATGAATTATTAGTCTTTCTACTTGAGATATTTGGTGACTGTTCATGTTTTTCTTTTTTTTTTTGGTACTGGTAATCGAACTCAGGACCTTGCGCTTGCCAGGCTGGCACTGTGCCACTGAGCTATATCCCTAGCCCCTCAAGTTTTTCTTAAAGAACAGACATTCTTGGTCTGTTATTTCTCAGGTCTATTAATTTGGCCTGTAAATTGCATATATGTATAATTATGTCAGTGTATGACAAGGTTTAAAATATATAATAAATGTATTGCTTAAAATGCTAGCCCTTTTCTCATTGCATTATAGAATATATTTTGTTACGACTACTATTATTTGTAGTCCTCAACTCTCTTATGTGAAGTGGATCTCCATTTTTCATATTTTGGCGACAGTTCAATTTGCTTTTCTGATTTAAAAATTTTTAGCTAGTGATACAAAAGCTATTCTAGTTATAAATAGTAGCAAGTGAGCAAATTATGTGTAAAAATAATATAAATAACACATCTTTTTTGGGGAGGTACATGAGATTGAAATCCAGCCTTCTCACTGTGAGCTACCTTTTCAGCCGTTTTTTATTTTTGAAACAGAATCTTGCTAAGTTGCCCAAATTGTGCTCAAACTTGTGATCCTCTTGCCTCAACATCCCAGAGTGCCAGGATTGCAGGGGTGTACCACCACACCCAGCTAATTGATCCTTTATTTTCCTTTCTCCTTTTTGTTTTTTAAGTGAGGCAGCGTCTCACTATGCAGTACAGGCTAGTGTTGAACTCCAGGTGATCGTTCTGTGTCAGCCTCCCAAGTGCTGGGATTACAGGCATGCGCCGCTGTGGCTGGGTCTCCAGGGTCTTATTGTGGGAAAATGGTGAGAGTGTATGGGCTTCATCTGCATAGGGGTGAGCGGCTTTGCACTAACTTATTTTAGATGTAGATTTCTCCAAGTGATGGCTTCATAGCCCAATAACACATACTTCCACAATTTTTCAAATAATTTTAAGGGATTCATGAACTTACTCAGAATTAGTTAAAAGTTTTTATTCTAGTGGTATCACCAGTTAACCTATAATTATGAATGTACAGTCAGAAAGATCTGAATGAAAGAAGTTTGATGAAGGTTAGTCCCATTTGAAAGGGGTTTAACCTGGATGAATCCAGTTATTTATTTGTACTAGTTATAAGAATTACTTTTGACTAGATCTTGGAGCCTACTGGTGTTTCTCAAATTAAAAACATTCCACTCTTTTTTGATTTAAAAGTTCCTTTAAATGTTATTTGAAATTAAAAATAAATGTAATATGGTGACTGAAATTGAATCAAAATACGGGTGGTTTTACAAAATCTGCTCAGGGCCTTTGCATTGAGCTACATCCACAGCCTTTTCTATTTTTAGGATGCCTGGACTGGGCTTGAACTTTCCATCCTCTTGCCTCAGCCCCCAGAGTGCTGTGGTTACAGGCATGTGCCTCCATGCCTGGGTAGAATATATCCATTCTTTGAAAGTGTAGCACTCTCTGACCTTCCTCAGATCAGAGTTAGGAGTTACACATGTACTTGTTAAGCATATTAGGAGGAAAAGGAATTTACATATTAACTTGCATGTGAGAAATATATGCACGACCATAATATAACTTGGTAATGAGAAAATAATTTGGTATTGTGTTTAACAATTACCATAGTTTAAGTGGGGGATGGTTGTGCACCCCTGTTACACCAGCAGTCTCAAAGCTGAGCCAGCAAGTTCGCTGCATTCAAGGCCAGGTTGAATTACGGCGGGAGACCATCACTAAAAGAACAAAAAAACCCCAAAAACAACAACAAAAAAACAAAATAAAAAACCCCCCATAGTTTAATTTAGAAGGTTTTTATAAATTTATATTTTTATTCATTTAGATGACAATATCTGTAATGTAAGATAATTTAAGGTGAAAAAATTATTACTAGAGTTATAAAATATTGGAGGATAAAAGAATTTAGTGTCCCCTTCCATTATCCTCCCATAAACAGGGCTAACTGTAGGGGACGATTATCCTCGCCCGCAACCCAGAAAAGATGTTTCTGCGAAAGAAGGAAAATGGTTTAGAAATTGTTTTCTTACCTATCAGTATCATTCAGGTTTTCATAAAAATCTTTTAAGTATTTTGAAATAAATTTAAAAAGAATTTATTGTTATTAATTGAATAGGTAATTTAATATTTCACTATATTTTTAATGAAATAAAATGACATTCATTCTCTACTTAATAGATACACAGCTATCAAGTGATGTTAAAATATTTTAATAATTTTAGCAGCAGCATACAGTCAGAATCCTACTGCTGTAAGAAACTTTTGGGGGAAATGCTAGGGATACTATGCCAGGCACTTTAAGTACATGATTTTAATTTTTTCTTATATCCTATAAGTTAAGTATTAGCTCTTTTTTACATACAGGGATCTAAGGCCCAGAGAGGTTAAGTAATTTGTTCAAGGTTATACACCTGTCATAAAGAAACTGGTGCTTTTTTTTTTAAGAAGTTAATTTTTTTTTTAAAGAAGCTAGTGTTTGAACACAGGTCTTATCCAAAGCCCTTAGTCCTTTCTGTATAGCATGTTGTCTTTATCTTTAGGTGGTCTGATGATTGCCTTATAAGTAAATTTGCACTATTAATCTTGCCCAAATACTTACTTTGCCAAGGTATATGTTGTAATATTTATATAATAACTTGAATTTTTTTTTGAGTTGTATCTTACACTATTCCCATGTGAAAAAAATTTCTGTCTAATCGCTTCATCTCACTTGTTTGTTCATAAATTCATTTGTTTTTTAGCCCCTACTTTCCTGGAATGTTACGGATTTTATTAATTTATTGAAATTTACTTCTGTTTATTCTCAGCTAAGTGTGTTGATAAATTTACTGCTTACAGAGCCTACTAGGAAAGGTTTTATTATAGATACTGCTTTTACTGAAGCTAAGTATTGGTATCAAAAGCAAAACGCAGTCAGAGGATTAAGGAAGCTGAAGATGAGCGGACTTGTGACTGCTGTCTCTGTCTGGGGCTTGGATGTGTAGCCTGATGTGCATTATTGCAGGCGCCTTTGTGCTTCTTACTGTCATTGGACGATACTCTGTGAATTCATTGAGTCAGTATATTTCTAAAAGGATATTTTTTCATCCTGAAAGTACTTAATAAATTGTCTTATATGTTGGAAATTGAGGATTTAAATGTTGAAATTTTATTTCTAAAAATCTGCATCATTGAAAATATCAAAGCTGTCATCAGTTTATCTTTGGTGTGGTCTTTTAATGAGGACAAATTTTAAGGAATTTTATTTGTATTCCAAGTAAACACATTTGAATCCTAGTTTTAATATCAAAACTCAAGTAGGCGTGGAATAAGTATGATTATACTTATGCATAGGTATTAAAGAATATTTCAATATCTGAAAATACTGTAATTTAAGAGATTAAATTTCTAGGTATGTTTGGATATTTTTATTGTGTGCTCTATATGTACTTTTGTCAGTCTTGTCTTCCACCTTTCATCCATCATTTTATTTTTTTTCTGCTTTCTAATGGAGATGCTAAAATTTGAGGTAATGTGTGTTTGGAAGGCTTTTTAATGTTATTGTTATCCTTAGTAAACCAACTTCTATTGTCATTCGGTAGTTTTGTGTTTTAACACAAATTCAGAACTTCAGACATGCTCATTTTGTTTTGTTAATGAAAAAAGTTTTCAGTCACTTTTAAATGATTGTTTTCTAGATATTAAGACAATTAACTGTGATTCTAAAGCATCAGCAGAATGTTAGTTTTGAAATACTGTTCCTTAATTATTTTTTAATTTCAAAGTTTAATTTCAAAGTTTAATTTCAAAATTTTTTAAATGTTAGTTTTGAAATACTGTTCCTTAATTATTTTTTAATTTCAAAGTTTAATTTCAAAGTTTAATTTCAAAGTTTTTTAATTTCAAAGTTTTTTTAGTAAAAATTCATTCAGTAGCACAGCATCAGGGAAATGTAAACTATAGCGTCTAGTATATTACTACTGTGAGAATAAATATGGATTAATCCTTGGCAGTGTAATCACACATTTTTTAGAAGGTATTTGTTGAGCACATACTAAGTGGCAGGAACCATTTTAGGTGTGGGAAATACAACACTGAATAACATAGTGCCTGCTTTCATAAGATACGTATTCCTTTGTGGAAGTCTAATAGTGTAAAGTAAACCAATCCTGATAAAATGTCAGGCAATAAATGCTGTGAAGAAAAAAGCAGGATATGGGCTGCAGTGGAGTAGGGGGTAATAGGGACAGTTCAGATAGATGGTCAGGGAAAGCTCAGGCAGGATCTGAGTAAGGAGAAAGGGGAGAATTTGGGTAAAGCAGTGGGAGTGAGGATCCTTGGGAGGAAGTTCCAGGGAATGTTAAAGTCTGACGTACAGATGAGTTTATTAACTCACCTGTAAAATAGTGAGGAAAGTCGTTGTGGCAAGAGCAGAGATCTTTCTTTTGAATTTTACCCCAAGTGAAAATTTGGATTGTGGTATCCAGGAATTCAGTCCATAGCCAATTGATTTTTTTTTTGATATTGTTGTTGTTTTTTGAGAGATAGGGTCTCACTATGCAGTTTAGGCTGACCTTAAACTCACTGTGTAGCCCATAGTGGCCTTGAACTCATAGCAATCCTCCTGCGTCAGCCTCCCAAGTGTTGAGATAGGTGTGTGCCACCATGCCCGGCTTGGCCAGTTGATTTTGAGGCCGAAATATCCTGGCAGAAGGGCACGATGGAGCAAAGATGCTAAGTTCCATGGTGGCCTACAAGCAGAGCAGGAGAATGAGCCAGAGCAAAGGAAGTGAAAAGCCAGATATGAAGGTCATGCCCCTGACCACCCAAACTCATCCTGAAATGTGCTGCACCGGTCTCCAGGGTGGATCCCAAAGCCAACGGAGTGGACACTCTCTCTTGTCACAGTTGTACACATATATCCTGAAGTATTATATGAATATTTTCATATGTTTGTAAGTATATATAACACTGAAACATTGTGTAAATATATAACCACAAAACTATTTGATAGATTGTCTTTTGTAGTACCAGAGTGAACTTCCATAGTACCAGAATAGACACATTTCGATGAACGTTTCCTTAGAAGGTCAGGCCATGTGCCTCTCAGATATGTTGCCTTTCCTAAAAACAGTTTTGAAATTTCTTTTGAGTTTAAATCAATTTGGGAAACACTAAAAAATTTGTTTCATTAATTTTGGTTATTAAAATAAGCCTAATTATTTGCTCATTCATTTCATTCATTTACCTTGTTTACTAGGTGGTTTCCAGAATTTAAAACCAAAGCTACTATAAATGGTTAAAGATACATCTTAAAAAAATAAGCTATTCATATTTTTGGAAGGGTTTTCCAAAAGAAGAGCAGTAAAGACCTATTGAATAATGGGATTCTTGTCACAATAAATTAGTTGCCTGCTGATGTTTCTTCTTTGAAGATGAAACACTTTATTTGTAATATATGTTATCTATTGATATGCTTATTAAGAAAAAATTTATTTATTGTCCGTATTGTAAAGTGTATTCAGTAATGAAGAATATAGGTAATGAAAGTAACTAACTTTAAGGTTGTAAAAAGTGAAGCCTACAAGCAATATTAGAAATATACATTTTTTTTGTTAGTGTCATTTTTAGGAAATTATACCTAAAAGGCAATACTTATTCTTTCCATAGTTGAACTTTATAGTATAGAAGTTTGTATTTCCAATGTGATTGTTTACCTGGCTTTCTTGTACATTTTTTAATGATCAAATTATTGTTTTAATAATAAACATTAATTTTCATTTTCAAGAAGAAGAAAAAAACCTAAAGCAAATTCATGGCCAGCTACTATACCTGGCCATGAAGTGCTCTAGCTTAATGAAACTACATGAAGTTCTAGTTTGGTAGCTTCTTTAGACAAATACATTTTTATTGCAATCAGAAAGGTACCTCATCAAGATAGAATTGTATGTTTGCATGTACATGTCTTAAAAGAAAAGGTTTATACAATAGAAATTGAAAAAAAATGTAGACATTACTTACTTACTCTCATTAAATTCAGGAAGGTTTAAGTATAGAGTTTCTAAACTAGTGAATTGAAGTTCGAAGTTCATTGTTTAGTTCAGACAGATAAAGTAAGATGCCATTTCATGTGTTATTAGATAAGTGAAACTGTACACTTTAGATAAATTTTAAAAATTAATTTTAAACTAAAGACAAGGGTGTGAAATTGCAGTGAGTAATGGGATAAAACAATCAGAGTTCCAAATATTATTTCAGTGTAACTGCAACAACAGCAAAAAGTTATGTAATCTTACAGCTTTTGTTACTTCTGTTTCCTTTTAGCTTGCTCTAAGTTCTATTCTGTTTTATTTTTTTTTAAGGCCACAATAAGCCAGCTAAAGATTGAACTTGCCAAAGGCCCTCAGGAAGTTGCTGTATATGTGCAGGAACTACAAAAGCTTCAAAGTTCACTTAATGAATTAACACACAAAAATCAGGTGAGAGTTTTAAAAATTATATTATAGTGATAAATTGATTTTATTTATCTCAGATTTCAACCTTGTATATTTTATTTGTGTACTAGCACAAGATGGCTTACATTGTGTGTATTGTTTTTAATATTAAGTATATTTACATAGTTATACAAACCGATCTCTAGGCTTTTTTTTTTGGTCTTGTAACACTGAAATTTATACTCATTAAACAGTGGCTCATTTGTCACTTTCCCAAGCTCTTAGCAACTACTGTTTTTTAAAACCATTTTCTGTGGCTTTTACTATCCTATTTTTGTGTGACTGATTTTGAATCTTAACATTCTAATGGTTTAATCCATGTAGATGGTACTGGGGGTTGAATCTGCATTGCTTGGCAGGGGTTCTATTACTGTCCTACCACCCAACCTCGAGATTTCTTTTTATGAGGCTGCTAATCTCATTTATGAGGGCTTTGTCTTCATGACCTAGTAAGTCTCAAAAGCCCCTCTCCTTACACCATCTCCTCAGGGGTTAGAATTTCCACATAAGTGTTCTGGGGAGACAAAGACATTGAGGTCATAGCTATAAGATATGTGAAAGTTTATTTCTGAGATCTCTACTGCGCTGGTCTCTCTATCTTTATGCCAGTACCACACAGTTTTTGTAGCTGGGTAATTTTGAGGCTTCCAATGTAAATCTTTTAAAAAAATTTTTAATGGTAATACTTTTTCCCTTGTTTTTTTATAAATGAGTTAATGTTCATTAACTCATTTATAAGCAGTTAATATTTCATTTTGGAGCAGAGGCATATTGATAAATGTTTTTACCCATCTGTCTTTCTTGGTGGTGAAGGAATAGGAAGTATTAAACCCTTTTGTACAAAGAAGTAGTTAAGCCTAATATTTTGGTAACCTTATAGCAAGAGAAAAGTCATGAAGGAAAGAGAATGATAGTAGGGAAAAGAAGAGATAAATATAATGGGCTGTAAATATTAAGCTTCTTGCCAGCAGCCCTGTGAATGAGCTGGAAGCACACCCTCCAATTCTAGCCAATATTCAGAAACTGTGCTCTGGCCAGCAGCTGACTACAACCTCAGGAGACTCTGAGGTGGAACCACCCACTTAAGCTGCTGATCTGTAAAAGCTATGAGATGATAGATACTTAGTTGCTGCTGTTAAAATTGAAGGTAACCTTTTCCTTATGCCCTTGGCTAGCAATTTTCTTTATATTTTCAAAATTATTAAATACTGCAAAGAGCTTACCTTCAAGGGGCTGGGGAGGAGAGTTTATATCTATAGATATTTACTGTAATTGAAAGGAAATGTAAGAAGTTTTAAAAAGATTAAGCCATTAAATAACATTTCAAATGAAAAATGACAGATTTTCCAGAGCACAAGAATACAGCAAGATATATACATACATATATATATATATATATATATATTTCCCTTCTTTCTTTCTTTTCTCATTTCCCTCATCCCAGTTGTTCTTTTCTTTTAAGCAGTTTCTTTCCCTTTCATAATATTTATTGTACTTTTCAGACTTTATTTATTCTTTTAGTTTCTTAAACTAGGCAGGCAATACAGTGTTTATACATTTGGGTCTGATTTATTTCAGTTATGAGTATGGTCTCTAGTTACATCCATTTACCTATAAAAACCTCGAGTTTATCTTCCTTTGTAGCTGAGTAATACTCCATTGAATAAAAATACCACATCTTTTTTATCCATTCCTCAGTTGATGGGTATGTGGGTTGTTTCCAAGATTTAGCTATGGTAAATTGCACTGCTATGCCCATGGGTGCACATTTATCACTGTGGTATATATACATAAGGTAGCTAAGATAATTGTACTACTAATTTCTGTTGGTTTATTGAAAGGAACAGTTAATACTTAATTTTTTTGGCCAATTTGGTAATATGAACAACTACTTTGAAGATAACAATGTACAATATAATAACCATTGTTGATTTCCTATCTTGTTTTGAAATTTGGTATTGTTTTTAATGTTTTTTAAAATTTTTATTGTCTTTTAAAAAGCTTTAAAAAAGAATTCAAGAATAATGGTAATATTTTTGCAAACCTCTTTAATGTTTGAATTACTATAGGTAGTTTCTCATGTCTGCTTTTATATTCAGTTTTTTTGTGATAATGTTGAAGTAAATGAAAAAAATTCAGTCTCATACATATATAATTGGAAAGAGGAGGAATGTTTTAATAGCCTGTTCAGGTAATTGTAGATATTTTTACTTGGTACTATAGTAAAGTTTGATAAGTGATAGTTTCTCAATTGTTAGAGTGTATTATCTGAAACTGTATCAATGGCTTTTTTGTATCCTGTAACATTAGAATTCATTGTCCGTCTTGCCATTTTTAAAAAATTTTTTATTTTTCCGTCTTGCCATTTGAGTGGGTCTTCTCTAGTGTGTGACTTTGTAACAACATGATTAATCACATGGAAAATATTGGCTCACTGAGCTATTCAGATCTTCCAAATGTTGACGCATTTCATTGCACAATTAAGAAACCCCCACATTCATCAGTATCATTGTAAGTCTCAAAGTAGGCTTTTAATTATGTGAGTAAGTGGTTGGGCTTGAAGTCTTGGGTAAGTTTTTAAATTCTAATTTCATTTGAACGTTTGCTGAGGATGTAGTTCAGTGGTAGAACGCTTGCCTAGTATCCACAAGTTCCAGTATTTGATCTGCAGTACAGGAAGGGAGGAAGAAAAGAAGGAAGGGAGGGAGTGAGAAAGGAAAAAAAGAAAAAAGAAAGTGAGCTTGAATTTTATCATTGACATCTGTTCTTTGCATTCACAGATTCTCCTACACAAATCTGAATGGTATTGTTTGTCATTCTTTCCAGCAAAAGTAGTATTTCAGAAAAAGAGAAAAGACTAGTTCTGTTATAACTCAATTACATGAGTGCTTTTCTTTACGGCTGTATTATTCCTTGATGTGCAGCTGAAGTGGTCCATTTATGCCTCCTGTTTTTTCCCAGCATTGTTCTTCGTTCTTGCTACCACAAATATTATGGCTATGAATATTCATACATAAGCCATACATATTTGTATAAGAATTTCTGTGTTACACTGTCTCTAAGTAAAATTGCAGCATTGTAGGGTACACACATGCTCAAATTTACAAGGTGACCTCGAACATTTCCAAAATAATTATGCTAGTTTACCATCTCTCTACCAACCTTAGTTCTGACTAATTTTTAAAATTTAATCTTTCTCAGGCTATGTCTTTCTGTAGTAAACCTCTGCACATTTTCCCTTTTTCTTTCACCTGCCAAACTATGTATAGAAAATTTCTGTCTAACAACCTAACTTTGTATTCCTTAGTTTGATTTTTAATTTCTTTGAATCCAGAGTCAGTTTCTAGAAGGATATATAGTGTAGCAGTTTGCTTACAATTTAGGCGGGTTTAATCTGTGATATAGTTTGAAACATGAAGTTATTAACAAAGGGCATAAATTGATATGAATAGCTGTAATGTGGATTCATAAAGATTTTGTTTTGTTTTGTTTTGTTCCTTTGATACTGGGAATCAAACTCAGAACCTTGCAGTTGCCAGACAGGTGCTTGTGCTGCTGGGCTATAGTTATATCCCCGGCCCGACTCATAAAGATTGTATCTGCAGTTGTCCCTTGGTGTACACAAGAGATTGGTTCCAGGATCCCTGCCCCAGAGCAAAATCCTTGGATGCTGAACTTCTGTCTAAGGAATGAAGTTGTATTTTCATAGAACCTACACACCTTCTCCTGTATACTATACTTCAGATCATCTCTGGATTACTTACAATATCTAGTGTAATGTAAATATTACATGGTTGTTAGAATTTTAATCTGTATTAGTTTTTATTGCATTGTTTTGGCCTCAGATGTTATCATTGCACTGTTGAGCTGAGGATCCTCTAAGCATGGAGGGCGAGTTGTGTCTACTCAAAACACAGGCGTGTATGCGCACACTAAAGGAAGTACTCTGGCTGTTTTGTGGATAATAGAATTTGTATGATTTAGTGTGATTAAAATGAAAACTTTTTAAAGATTAAGGAATAATAGATCTTCTACTAACATTAATGATGTCTTACATAACACTTAGTGGTTTTTTTCTCCCAAGGGTCAACTAGGAGTTGAGAAATCACAGAGTTGCATCTGCCTTTTCTCATTGTCCTTGCAGTTGGCCTCCCTCCTCCCTCTTCCCTCTTCCCTCTTCCCTCTTCCCTCTTCCCTCTTCCCCCCATCTCTAATAACCCTCACTGTTGGCAGTGGGAATACCCAGGTGTTTTAACTTTGGAAGTCCCTGTACACTGTCTTTTAAAGACTGCTCTGTAAAACGCCTTGGGCAGCTCTCTGGGTCGTAGGCATGATCAGGGTAGACAGGGAATATGGTGGTATAGATGGGAAAGAGAATTGTTTTTGTGCTAATATCAGGGTATTTAGCTTTAAGGCAGCTTTTTTTAATTTATAAAAAATAAAATAAATTTCTTAATAACAAGAATAACTATAGTTAATGCATGGTGTATCGTAATCTTGAAAGTTCTTACTCAGAGTACAAGATCTTGAAACTTTAAAATAAGAAAATTGCAGAAACAAAAATTACTTCAAAATTACTTAAAAGTCCTAAAGTTCATTTTAATGAGCTATTTTCATATAAATTCTGAACAAAATTATACTGCTTATTTAAGACTACTCATATAAAGCAGCTCATTTTAAGAGATTGAGTTATTTTTTGAGTGTCACTTATCACCCCTTCCTTCCCAATAGTCTCAGTTCTAAGATATTAATAGGCCACCATGGGAGCCAGGTATGGTGTGTAGTCATTGCGTTGCAGTGTGTCTCCCCTGCATTGCAAGCATAGTTGGCCTGGCACACCTGCAGCTGCCATGTCCACATTTGCACCAACTCGGATGCGAATAAAGAATTCACGTACCCTGAACGTGTGCAGGGTGTTTTCCCTCTTGCCATTATCCCATAAATCATGCACTATCACAGCTGTCTGCATAGGATTTACATTATGTTAGGCATTATTAATCTAGAGATGGTTGAAAGTATACAGGAGAGCGTTTGTAGGTGACGCATAAACCCGCACCATTGTATGTAGAGACGTGAGCATCCTCAGATCGTGTTACCTTCAGGGGCTCTGCACCGCTGGCCCATGGCTACCGAGGAGACTGCAGTAGACTGCAGTGGCCCCAGAGACGGATTTAAATTCCAACTGTGCCCCTTACTGGCCAGTTTATTTTCTCTTCTGCTAGGGTAATATCATACCTGTTTGCCTCTGAAGACCGATACGAGTAGAGATGTGCTTATTTGGCCTTTAATATGTACCTCAGTGACTTTATTTCTTGCGAGTGTTTTGACAGCAGGCTTGGGTCAAATCCGAGGATCAAGTTTTCCTGACTGCTTACACTAGATCCACAGGGGAGTTTGTAGGAGACATAACTTTTTAGTTGAGTCTTTAGTGATGTTAAGAGACCTTTCACTTGACAGAAGGGTTAATCGTATTTCATTGTTAAAGGTGGATATATAAAAGACACGGAACTGTTTAGAGCATATACATTTCATAAAATCTAAGATGTCAGAGAGCCCCCTATAGCCTTCTCGTTCTTCTCACTCATTCTCATTACTTAGGCAAGTAACAAATTAATAGTAAGTGAAACTTAATGTAGGGACATTGGCAGCGTAGGAAAATGTGTTGAGAAGGCAACTGATGAGTGGCCATTGGAAAAGGAAGGATTTTCCTTATCCAGATAATTAGGTTGTGAGGTAAGTGTAGCATTTATTTTATAATTTTAAGTTTGAATAGGGTCCATATTTTAGGGAGGATGAATTCATTTATTGACTAATTGTGTTGTGAAAAATCTATTGGATTTAGAATCATATTCATGACTCTATCCGCTGGCCAGCTCCCATCTGTAAATGAGAATGGTAGCGTCTGTCTCAATTTTATTATAAGAACACTAGTATGGAGAAGTAAAAATAATCTTTTTTTTGATGGAGTCTACTCTACTTTAAAAAAAACTCAGTCCTCAAAAACTATGTGTTTCCTGTAACATTTTATTTCAGATTTCATGGAAGACCATAATAAGAATGAAAAGTTTGTAATACTAATATCATTTTCCTTTTGCTTGTAAAATTATATAAGTTAATTATGTTTTTTTAAAAAAAGAAAGTGGTTTAAGTTATGTAATAAAGCAAATAATTTTTTAAAAATTTTATTTATTTTTTATTTTAAAAATAAAAGAACAAGAACATGTTAACAAACACACATTTACAAAATAACACAGGAACAATATAAGCAATACTGAAATTTAGACAAGGTGATAGGAAATTAACATTGGTTGTTGTATTACATACTGATTTCTTCAAAGTGGTTACTTAGGAAAACAAATACACGTAAGATTGATCAAATAATTACTCATTAACTGTTCCTTTCAATAAAGCAATAGAAGTTAGTATTACAACTCTGTTAGCTGTCCTGTATATACATATAAACATAATTTTCCCCTTTATTTTCTTTTCCCTCATCCCAGTTGCTCTTTACTTTTAGGCAGTTTCCTTTCATTTCACAATGTCTATCATACCTCCCAATTTTATTCGCTCGTTCAGGTTCTTACACTAGTGAGACATATATTGTTTCACATGCGGGTCTGATTTATTTCACTTGTGAGTATGGTCTCTAGTTGCATCCATTTACCTATAAAAGCCTTGAGTTTCTCTTTCTTTTTACCCGAGTAATACTCCATTATATAAAAATACCAGAACTTTTTTATCCATTCCTCAGTGGATGGACATTTGGGTTGCTTCCACAATTTAGCTATTACAAATTAAAGCAGATAATTTTTTAGTCAAGTAAATTTTAAACAATCCTAGTTATGTCCTGCATTTTTGCTTCTTAGAACTAAGCTTTTGGAAGGGTATTTAGGAAATGTAGGATTATTTGGTGGCTTTATAAGTAAGACTGTTGTGGGAAATTATGCTCATTAACTCACGGTTAGTCTTACTTTTCATACCATGTTTAAAAATTACATGCTGCTCAAATCCTTAATATATTGTGTGTGGTTGCATAATGAAATTTATTGACTTGGAATTTTCTTTAAAATCATTTATAAATCAATGAATAGACTTAATGTAGTTTATGAATGCTAAACTAAATGCTGTTTTTCTAAACAAAATAAATATAAAATTATGTGAAGGAATACCTAATGTTGTTAATTGGTAACACAAATGTTTCTAAAAAGATTTTCCTAACATAGTTGAACCTGAAGGATCATTTTTCTTCTTTAGTTTTTTGACTTTACTTCTTTTTTTGTTTGTTGCTTGATCAGAGCATACATCTCTTGGCTAATTTTGCCGCAAGACCCTGTTTGCTCTTACTTTTTTTTTTTTCCCCTGAGACAGGGTCTTGCAATGCCTTGAACTCACTGTGTAGCAGGCTGGACTTGAGCTTGGGGTAGTCCTCCCTCCTCAGCCTGCTGACTGCTGAGATTCTAGGTGTACGGCACCACGCCTGTGCTTCTAGCTGCTTAGCTTCTCTCTCCCCGTCTCTCTCACACACCTCCGTCATCGGGCTGGGCATGGCTTTTCTGTAGTGTGCTCTTACTTGGTAGTTTACATGAATTCACTGCTCAGGTAAATGTTCAAGAACCTTTACTGCTGCTTTTCCCAAATTAGTGTTGAGGCTTATTCCCCATGAGGTGACGGGATATGCTGTTTCCTCACCTGCAACTTGCTTTTTTCCTTCCTTCCTTCTTCTCTCTCTCCCCTTCTCCCTTTCTCCCTCCCTCCCCTGCCTGTGCTTGTGCCTCTCTCTCTCTCTCTCTCTCTCTGTATATATATATATATATATATATATATATATATATTTGTGTAGAGCAGATGGCATGCATCATGTGTATATATTCCTTAATTCCTTTTACCACTTTTAAAACCAAACTCAAACTACTATTTTCAAGGGTCTTACTAATCAGCCCACTTGATTTTGCTCATTTTATTTTTTTGAAGTTGTATACTGAAAAGAATTTTTCTGTTAATTTTTTTTGAGGAGACTGCCAGAGCCTCCTATATGCTAAGCAGGTGCTACCACTGAACTGCCACGCCCCCCTTTTTTTTCCAGACAGGGTTTTGCTGTGTATGTCAGGGTGACCTTGAACTCACTGTGTAGCTCAGGCTGGCTCAAACTTGGAACAGTCCTCCTGCCTCAGTCTCCCGAGTGCTGGGATTATAGGTGTGCGTCACTATGCCTGGCTTTCCAGCACTCACTAATCCATTTTTGTTTGTGCAATTCTTTTAAATTTTCTTAGATTTTTTTCTTTGGTGTGTGTATTGCATTTATATTGTAGTTAGTTTAAGGAACAGAAGCTTTGATTGTCCTTATTTCTGTATTTCCCCTTTCCTGCACGCTGCAGATAATAAATGTCCACTGACTGGCTCATCATGTACTTACAGTGGCTTCTTGTCCTGGCTGATTTGCTGACAGAAATAAGTTAAGGTTTTGACCCGTATTTTATGTGTAAGAATGTTGACTTAAAACGTTCAGTGTTGGTAGCAACAGCATCGTCGAGACTAGACTCTGACAGCTGGTTTAGGCTACTTAATCGCGGCCTTTGATTGAAGGTGCCATTGTTATAGCTTGTACTGGATAGTACTGAGTAAACCATCAAATATCAGGTGGGTAGGTGGTACCTTTTCATGTACCTGGAAGGGAATTCATAGTAGTCCTAGCTTGTGACTCTAAAAATGGTCTTACGGAGAAGAGAAGAAAAGATGTAATCAGTAGGATCAGGCCTGCTCAGGCAGTGGTTAATGTTATGCTGAAGCTCTTACCACCATGCACTTGCAAAGCAGCATCAGAACTGACCTAGTAGATTGTTATTCAGAGTAGTTTCTGGTGGAAGAAAAGTAGTTCCAATTTTTACAACTCAAATGGAAGTATATAAATATATTGCATACCCCAAAGAATCCAGTAGATTTCAATGTTTTCATTTTATGTAGCATTTTCTCAGCAGTTTTCATGTAGTACTATATTACTAAAGTTTAGTCATGTGGACCAAAGATTGACTAAATGGAGTAATTAAATGTATTTGGAAAAGAAATGTATTGTTAAATTGACTTTTCAGAACTTGACGGAAAAATTGCTGAAGAGAGAACTGGAGTATACCCAGTTAGAGGAAAAGCACAACGAAGAGTCTGTGAGTAAAAAGAATATGCAAGTCAGCCTTCATCAGAAGGACCTCGACTGTCAGCAGCTGCAGTCCCGGCTGTCTGCCTCTGAGACCTCTCTGCAGAGGATGCAGGCAGAGCTAAGTGAGAAAGGAGAGGCGAGCCAGAAGCTCAAGGAAGAGTTGTCTGAGCTGGAGACCAGACACCAGCATCTAAAGGCAGAGTTCAAGCAGCTGCAGCAACAAAGAGAAGAAAAGGAGCAGCACGGGCTACAGCTGCAGAGTGAGATCCATCAAGTAAGAGGTGTTCATGTTACTCGCTGGAATCCCACCTCTCCTTACAGCGCTTGATGGTGGTTTGATTGTAATACAGTTTATATTTTTAAAAAGTTGCACTTTTTAAGATTGACTCTAAATTTCTACATCTTATAGTGTTATCGAATCTCATTTCCTTTGATTTTAATGTTCCTTAAGAAAAATAATAGAATCAGTCTTACAGTATTGTTATGAAGTATTTATGAATTAAATCATATAAATTGCTTACAAGTAGGTGTGGCACTCCAGAGGCTGAGGCAGGAGGACCTTGAGACCCTATCTCCAAGAACTAAAGAAAGGCCTCTCTAGGGCATTGGGTAACACACACACACACATACTGCTTAGAAGCTTAGAATGATGCTTGGCTTGGCACATGGTAGGCGTTTACTAGGTTTTAGTTATTATACTTAATTCACTTGTTGACCATTCTTATTTACAAATTTTTTCTTTTTTTCTTTTTGGTTATCAGCTTTTTCAGATATAATTATAAAGTCATCAGTATAAAAATGAAATATTTTAAAAGTAGAAAAAAATCAATCCCAGAAAACCTGTTTTGGTAGGTGAATTATCTATCACATGAAGCTTGATGGAATTTTATTTTGCCATTAGCTTAATTTTTATTTTTTTATTATTTATTTATTTTTTCATCCCGGGAGTGGAACTCAGGACCTCGTGCTTGCCGGGCAGGCGCTGTGCTGCTGAGCTACATCCCCAGCCCTAGCTTAATTTTTAAATATCTACTTTAAGTATTGCTTATAGATAACATTAAAATTTAATTGAAAATGGAAATTTGGTGGAGATTAAAGTTCTCAGCCATTGTTTAGTGATATATTTAAGTGGCAGTGATTATTACAACTAATTGTATGACTTTCTACTTTAAATATTAGTGATAACACTGACAGTGAGAGTAATTTATTGAGCTTTAATTGTGTTTTAGGAATTAAATACTTCAAGTGTATTATTATTATTTTTGGGCGGGTACTAGGAATCGAAGTCAGTACTCCTGCTTGCCAGGCAGGCACTGCACCACTGAGCTAAAACCCTGGCTTATTGACATTAATTTATGAAGTTAGACTATGAGTTCTTTTTTTTTTCCCTTGGTGTTGGGAATTGAATCCCAGAGATTTCACGCTGAGCTGTATCCTCAAGACTTTTTATTTTATTTATTTGTTTAATTTTGTATCATGGTCCCACTGGGTCACCAAATTGTTCAGGCTGTGCTCAGGCTGAGCTTGAACTTGAAATCCTCTTGCCTCACCCTCCTAATGTGCTGTAATTACAGACATACCAGGGCTGGCTAAACTGCTCCTGGCTTAGATTATGAGTTCTGTGAGACACTGGATAAGAATAGTTGGGGATATTTGCTGAACTTTGTGTTCTTCTTCTCTATTTTCTTGTTTTTTGTTTGTTTGTTTGTTTGTTTTTTGTTTTTTGCTTTTTTGAGACACAGTCTTGCTAGTCCAGGCTGACCTTGAACTTGCTATGTAGCCAAGGACGACCTCAAACTGTGGCAGTCCTGCCTCAGCCTTCTAGGTGCTGAGCTTACAGGTGTGAGCCACGATACCTGGCTTCCTTCTCAGTTTTCATTGCCTCATCCTTTCACTTACACTTTTAGGTCACTCTAACACACTGACTGATCTCCTTGCCTTTAATTACGCCATCAGAGTGATCTTCATGTAGCCACAGAGTAACACCTTACGAGCAAATCTTGCTATGAGAGGTTTATGGACCAGCCCTGCTTTGTTGTCTGTAATGGTTCTTTGTGGCATGCACTGCCCTAGTGGTCTTGTTGACCTTCCTTCTCAGTTGTTTACCATTCTTTAATTTATTCTCCACTGTAATTCTCTGGTGAATAAGGTGGATGAGGATACACTGTAATGTTTTACATCCTGACTTCCATTCTTTCTTTCTTTTTTGTACAAGGAGTCAAACTCAGGACCTTGCACTTGTCAGGCAGGCACTTTGGCCACTGAGCTATGTCCCCGGCCTTCCATTGTTTCAACTTTCTTGTTGCTGGGACAAGATACCCAACACTCACAAGTTACGGAGGAGAGGTTTATTTCAGCTCACAGTTTACTGAGGTTTCAGTACATAGCTGGCTGGCTCCACGGCAGGGCAGCATGGCAGAAAGGTGTGACAGGAGAAATAGCCCATGGCAGGGCAGGAAAGAGGCAGCGAGCCCCTGTTGTCTCACCAGGCTACCTGCCTTTCAGATGGTGCTGCCCACACCCAAGGTGGGCCACCTCATTATCCACACCCAGAACTGTGATAAACCAATTAGTGGACTGACTCAGTACCACACACCTTTACTCCCAGTATTACACACCCTGGAACCAGCCACCTCCAAATAGCCCCGCCTGTGAGTGGGTGCGGCTTTGGGGCACATCTAGATACACGCCCTAACACATAGTACAGCCCTCGGCAGCAGCGTTCACAGTAGTTTTGATCACACTTGCTAAAGACATGAGGGAAGACTTTCACAGTTGCTTCAGAAGGTGGCAAGAATGATAACTGGCAAGAAGGTTTTAGATGTTATGAATGGTATATATTCTGACAGCCAGCTTGTTCCCTTGTATCAGGAAATAACATGTGTCCAGTTTTCTTATAGAACTTGATTTTTTCTTGCCAATTGTTAGTTTTTATTGAAAAATTCAAGTATAAACATACAAGTATATTATGTTTATAAAGTGTACAGAGTACAGAAAAATACACCACAAAGACTTTTTATATTTTCAGATATAACTTGAAGAACTTTGACTGCAAGCAGTCATATAAAATACTCGTTACTAATACATAATAAATGATACCCAGTCATCTGCTCTCATGTGTTACAAGGCGGATGTGCTGGAATGTGCTTAGTATGTAGCCTTGCCAGGTATCCAGGGTCCTCAGCTCCTTGCCAGTCTTTTATCCTTCACTCCCAGCCTTGGTACAGGCATTCTGAGATGAATACAGACTAGTTTTTTTGGTAAAAGCTTATAGAGAAAAAAAGCTGTTATTTTTGGTGGTATTAGAGAAAATACTGTAAGAAAATGATGGCTCTGAGCTGCATGGCACATTTGTCCTTTACATTTAACTGGAGGGCATTTTGTTGGGGGCGTGGTGCTAGGAATTGAGTCATAGTCTTGTGTGTGATGGGCAGGTGTTCTGCCACTGCACCATACCCAGCCCCTGGGGTACCCTTAAAGTTAATTAATAAGGATTATCTAGCACTTACTTTTATACTTTTTTTTTGGTACTGGGACTCAAACTCAGGACATTGTGCTTGCCAGGCAGGTGCTTATGCAGCTGAACTATATCCCCAGCCCCTAGCACTTATTTTTAAAAGATTATACTGTTTTCTCTATTTTATTTAGAAGTTATATGCCAATTTAAGTATTTAAAATCTGTATAATACCCAAATGTAAGAAATCAAATATAGTGGTTTTTAACCTCTGGAAAACCAAAAAGAATCATGGTTAATCTTTAAAAAGTACTGTGAAATAGGTCTGAATGTACCATAAATATCTTAAATTTTGGGTTTTATTTTATTAAGTTCCTCAAGTGAGTCTAACACTTATACACAAAGCAGAGCCTGGTCCTCTTTGTTTTTTTAAACCAGTGAAACAGTAAAATCTCTCATGCTTAGTCATAATTTTATTTGATTAATTATAGCTTAGTACATGTGCTGCTGAAGTAAGGACATGACTATAATTTATGATTAGAGTTTAATTGCTGTTTAAATTATTATATAAAATTTTAGATTTCTCCAGAGTATCATGAACATTAAAATACTATACTTATTTTAAGTTTATTGTTACAATTTAGATATACATAATGACCACATAGTATACTTACATTGCTGAAAAATAAAGCATTTTTTGGCAAAGTAGGTGTAGTATGTGTGTTTATGTAAATGTGCATATTTTAACTTATTTTTTAAGTTGCATAGCAAACTTTTAGAGACTGAGCGCCAGCTAGGAGAAGCTCATGGTCGGCTGAAGGAGCAGAGACAGCTTTCAAGTGAAAAACTGATGGATAGAGAGCAACAAGTAGCTGACTTACAACTCAGACTTTCTCGTTTGGAAGAACAGGTAAGCTGGTGTTTCAGATGGATTGTTACTAGCAGATTTATTAACAGCTTCAAGATTTTAAATACAGTTATGATTCATAATCTTTTCATTGTCAAAAACATTAATTAGGCTTTTTGTACTTTAAATTACAACATTCTCTTCAATAAAAACATCCTGCTTACTGACTAAGTTACTGCATTTTACTGTGATTGGATTTAGTAAAGCTCTCAACAAAAGCACAAGAAGAGGACCATTTTTTTCAGTGTTAGGAAAAACTCCAGCGTAGCTGTCTGTTAGGCTGCAGCTCTCCTTAGCCGGGAAGGGCTGGTTCCTGATGAGTCGTGGGCAGTGAGCACTTGGTGAGGATTGCAGATGATGCCAAGTTGTGCATGTGATGTAGAATTTGGATCTAAAGATTTTCACTTTTAAAAGTTAAGCTTGCGGTTGATAGCGTGCTATCCTAATTAAAGTTGTTGGTGCTCACAGTGGTGCACGTTATACACTTAAAGTGAAAAGTAGAAAATTATGTCTTTTATTTGAGTTGAGCAAGTATTCAGGGTTGAAATCTGTAGCTTCAATAGATTTTCTTTTAGAAAAAAATTGTAGATTATTGTTACAGATAAATTGTATGTAATTAATTGCTTGGTCATATTAATATGAAAAATGAGCTAAATGCCCACCTAGAAAAAGATTTGCATTCTTTTCAAGATAAGAGTCTGTTAGTTAGAAAATAGTTTCTTCATCATGAGATTAACATTCTGCAAGTAATGAGGTGCTACTTTTTCTCTTTAAGTTGAAGGAAAAAGTAACAAATTTCACAGAGTTGCAGCATCAATTAGATAAAACAAAACAACAGCATCAGGAACAACAAGCTCTTCAACAAAGCACTACAGCAAAGCTACGGGAAGCTCAGGTAAGTGTTTGAATAATTAACATCGTTAACAAAAATTAAACAAATTATTATTCTGATGTGATGGAATGAGATAATGTAATTTATTATAAAGAATTTTGATAATTTTCAATATTTTGGATAGTAAGAAAATACTTTTACTAAGGTGAAGAGTTCAAATAGTTTATTTTTATTCGTTTGTTTGTTTATTTATTTATTTAGTCTTTTTGAGGCAGGGTCTCGCTGTGCAGTTTAGGCTGGCTTTGATCTTACTTTGTAGCCCAGGCTGGTCTTGAACTCGCAATGATCCTCCTGCCTCAACCTCTTGAGTGCTGGGATTACAGACATGCACCACCACGTCTGGCTAAAATACTTTAAAATATTATTTGTTATGAAAATTTGTGAATTTTAACCAAAATTTATAAGCTGGTCATGGTAGTGGATACGTGTAATCCCAGCACTTGGGAGGCTGAGGCCGGAGGATTGCCATGGGTTTGAGGCCAACCAGGGCTACATATTGAGTTCAAAGCCAGCCTAAACTATATAGCAAGACCCTGTCTCAAAACAGAAACACCCAAATTTATATAAAATATTTAACTATTAAATGTCCTTGTTAGAAAATTTATATTTAAATGAATAATTTATCTATTAAATATATCTAGTTTAAACTTTATTTAAATTATTAATAAATAATTACTTATTTGTTGCTTACTGAAGTACCTTATTTGAAAAAAAAATTAAATATTCAAATAAAATTTCCTGGTTTAGTTAGCCAAGGTATAAGGGCATTTTTAAAATTTTCTACAGTAAAATTTAATATTTTTTGGCCATGTCTTTCTTTTTAACCATCCTCTGAACATTAAAATATTAGGTATAGAAAACATAATTGATCGAGTTACATTTATACGGTTGTGCAGAATATTTTAGAAGGTTTAAAGAAGCTTAGTTGTTGTTTTGTTTGATGAGGGCAGGCTACCAAATATTTGATGTGAGTCTGACTTCGATATAATTTATCCCTTCATTGTTCGGTCAGCACTGAATGCTATTGAGCACTGTGTGTCAGGCGCTGCTCAGCCCTGGGAGTGAGAGGCAGAGTGCCCGTCCCTAGGGAGCGGCAGCTCCCCAGGGTACAGGGAGATGACCCCAGCTTTTGAGGGAAGCGGCTGGGGTCTCAGCCGTAAGGCGTTGTTCCTGTTAGAGTTTGGAGTGCAGCAGGAGAAGAAGAAAGACTTGAAGGAGGCGGGAGCATGAGCGGTATGGATGTCAGAGGCATTAGTAGTGCCTTAAAGGTCCTGAGGCTGGATTGAGTGAGAAGAAAGTTGGTGCCTGCGGCAGTGCAAGTGATAAGAGTTAAAAAGGTCAGAGTCACAGAGATCGCAGAGGATCAGAACGTATAGAACTTCATAGGTAATCTTAAGGATTTATTGTACTTCTTTTGGAGTGAGATGAGAAGTCACGCAAGGTTCTGAGCAGAGGAGCAACGTGGTCCGACTGGCAGTGTCACAAGATTAGTCCGGTGGCTCTGTTGAGGGCAGATGGGACTGGTGCGTGAGTTGCAGCCAAGACATGAACAGATTACTGTTCTAATCCAGATAAAGACTGATGTGGTTGGGACTGGAGTGAAAACAGGGCAGGTAGTGAGAAGTGGACAGAGTCTGGATATTTTTAAAGGTGGGGCTGACTGGTGTGCTCATAGGTGGATGTAGAATATTGAGAGACAGATCAAGAGTGACTCCAAGGATCTGGACCTGGACGATTAGTACAGAGGTCAAGCAAGACAAAAAGAGAGAATCCCATTGCATTTGGTAGCATGGAGGTCTTTGATGATGTTATAAGAGGAATTTGAATAGAGAAGTGGGGTGAAAAACTGTTTAGAGAGGGTTCAGGGAGGATGGGAAGAGGAAGCTGGATAAAGTGTATGTATCTGGGATTTTACTGTACATGGTAGGGGAGGAATGGGCATAAAAGCAATCATGGAGAATTTCGTGTGGATCAGCAACCAAATAGGCTTCCTTATACTGTGCTCCCACATTACAGATAAAGCTGCAAACAGCACCCTTTTGCCTTCTTATACCAGGCTGTGTCTCCGGCTGAGGGAAGAGCAAGGGACACATTTGAACATGCTTAGCTCCTCATTCCTCACCTGATGATGTTTAATTGTGTGTGTGTGTGGTGTTGGGGAATGAACCCAGGGCTTTTGCATGGAGCTGCATCCCCAGGCCTCTTCAGCTAATTAAAGAGATGCAGTGAGTATAGTTTGAAAGCGTATGTGCACATAAAATTATCATAGTGACACAGATGGTAGTTACCTAACCTAGACGGTCTGGAAAAGAGGAGTCATAGAAATGTCTCAGAAGTGACAGGCTGAGCCACTGGTAGATAGTTGGGTGTGCGGAGATGGTGACAGAAGTATATCCAGGTAGAAGTTGCAAGGACAAGGAGAGTGAAGCTAGTGTGAATTGAACCGTTAGGTTTTGCTGGACTTAAAGTTCATAAGGGATTAACTTCATGTGGGCAAATGGTGAACGTGATGAAAAATACCTGTTAGATAAACAAATAAATTGGTAACCTTGTTCAACATAAAGTATATGAAAATACATAAAAAAGAAATATATATGAAAATCTGATGTTTGATTAATGAGTAAGTGAGAACTGAGGGAGTTGGGCATGTAAGTGTAAATTACTTTCAAAATTTAAATGTGAATTGTATAAAGACTGAATGGAAGCTGACAGTATTTTTGAGAAAAAGAGATCTAAATGTGTTTGTAGCCTAGGACAAAGAGGCTGGTAAAGAGGAGGTTATTCTTATACTGGAAGTGAAGTGGCTGATGCAGTTTGATAATAAAAAGCTGTGATATCACTCATGTAATGGGTGGTACGGACTTGAACCTCACTCAAGCTTGAGCAAAGCAGGGCGGTATGGAAACATACACGTATGATTATATAGGTCAGGGAATGGAAATTCAGAGTAAATTGTTCCTGAAAATTTTATACTTCAGTATAAAGTTGGAGATAGTAATAGCTGAATATCAGGCAAGCAAAAATCAAGAACTTGGAGAGAAGATTGAAGTTTTTAAGAAGACATTAAGGATAATGTGGATGGTGGGGCCCTCATTTGGATGAATGGGTTGAAAAGACAATTCTGAGTACATAATGGAGGCTGGAATCAGAAGTTTATAGTGGCACAAATTTATGAAGGTTTTGGGTCTATTCTAACAGTGCCTACAGAGATACAGGAATAGATGCAGCAGATTGCAACACTGACCTAGAATTGTACTTTTGGGGGGTGATTGGCTTGAAAATTTTGAGGTGAAAGGAAACGGAGAATGTGATGGGAAGAATATTTGTTAGATCATCCATCTATGCAGTTTAGGAAGAGAAGCTAGGTATAGTGAGTAAGTTAGAAGGAAATTGAGGTCTCTGATACTGGAGATGAGGTCATAAAATTGGAAACTGCTCAGGAAGTTTGGTAACAGAGTAAGATAGGTGGGATTTTTTTAGCTGAAACAATTTCAGGTTATTGTTTATTACTGCAATGTGGAATGAATGCAGGTCCAGGAATTAAGATGATATGTATGTTGAGGCTGTGCTCTTAATTCTCTGTGTATTTTGTATTTCCCAGGAAATTGGCAGAAATTGGGATTGAGAGAAAAACTAAATCAGGTCTCAAGTCTTCAGTGAATGAGGTAGGGATTTATAGACGATAGCAGTAAAGACAGAGGATAGAGTAAGATCAGCATTTCCAAAGCAGCACCCTTGCCTGAAGAAGAGAGCAGTGACAGGGAGAATCCAGGGAAAGGCCCATCTCCTGTGTGTGCCCAACAGAATAAGGCTGCCTGAACAGAGAGAGGGAGGTGGAATTGGATTCTGTATAGAGAAAACCAAATTTCAGTTAAGACTTGGAAACAGAGTAACTCTTCTGGGAAAAAGTGTCTGCCTAGAACTGTAATTCCAGAAGAACAGTGGCATGTGGAGAGAGGGTTAGTGGTGGCAGGAAAAGAAGCTGAGAGAGGGAGGTTTGGTTGCTTTGCCAAATGACTGCTTTTCCCATGACTGCTGCTTGGGGGGATGAGAAGCACTTTTGAAGGTGACTGATCTGAATACTGCAGTACTGGCACAAATCATTGAGGGTATGAGGCGGCTCCTGGTGCTGTCTCAGCAAGGTGCTGTGGGCTGCTGTCAGGTTTACAGTTGGGCTGCCTGGGGCCTTGTTCTGGGGAGACACTGTCTTCAAGAAAGACGGAGAGAGAAGCGGAGTATATGGAATCTGATAGCTGGTGCAAGTGGGTCTTGTTCTGGGTATGCGCTATTGCATTGTGCTCTGTATAACATTAAGAGCTTTGGTAAAATAAAAGAGGGATTCTTAATTTATTGATAAAGGAGTCCTAGTAGGGTATTAACGTGAACCTGCAGAGGTATATGTGTTACAGTGTTCATCATTTTTACACAAAAGTATACGGGTTAATCATTCTTTATTCAGTGAATGTTTTAGAACATGTAAAGAAAGTTAGAACACATGTCAGATATCTGACATCAGTGAATACAAGAGGTAAAAGTTCTCACCTTTGTACAGCACACATTCTAATAGGAAGTGGAAGGAGGTAGAGAAATGTGAAGAAGTGCACTATTTAGTGTGTTAGAGATAAATGAAAGAAAGAAGCAACAAGGATAATGGAATATTGGGAAAGCTGCAGTTTTGAAAGGCCTGGCTAACGGTGACACTGCGCAGACCTGAAGGAGAGGGAGCGGAGCACGTGGCAGGAGGGAAGTGTTTCAGGCAGAAGGTTCTTAGTGTCCCTGGTGTGACAGAGACGTAATGACTCCGTGTGTATCTGAGGTGGAACAGAGGAGTAGTAGGAGGTGAGGACAGAGTGTTGGGAAGAGAAGGCTACTACTTACAATTTTTTGTTGTTAAATTCTTATCAATAAGATAGATTTATATTATCAAATGTGTAGGTCTAATTAAATTTGCCACGTTAAAATGTAACAATTAGTTTTAAAGGTATAAGACTAAAATGCTGAGTGGTGAAATTCATAATCACTCATTTTATGTTTGAGAAATATCTTTTTTAAGTTCTCTGTCCTTAAAATAGGAGTTTTCAATTCTTTACAGAATGATTTGGAACAAGTCCTGCGTCAAATTGGTGATAAGGACCAAAAGATCCAGAACCTCGAAGCCTTGTTACAGAAGAGTAAAGAAAGCATTTCATTGCTAGAAAAGGAAAGAGAGGATCTTTATGCCAAAATCCAGGCTGGTGAAGGAGAGACTGCTGTTCTTAACCAGTTGCAAGAAAAAAATCATACACTACAGGAGCAAGTAAGCTTGTAAAGTGTATTATGTTTCTAAAATTTACCTTCCTGAGTCTTATTAAATGCTTTATTTAAATCATTCATTGGAAAAGTAGAGATGTTATTAATAATATATACTTGCCTGATGGTGTTTTGTTATGTTTAAAAAAAGGAGTGAATAACAATATACATTAATAAGCCAAAGGTATTATCAAGTGTTAGTTGATACTGTGAATTGGTTAATATTCAAACTTGCAGTTATAATTTGATAATATATATCTTTGAACAATATATAATTAGTAAGTTTAATAAGTTGCTTTGTTGTTCAGAAATTCCTATGGAGCTTAAGAGACACAACATTTAAGCTAATATATTTTCAAACTGAAAATAATTTACAGTTGCTTTTTGGAAGAGTTACCTAGTGAGATAATTATTGTTATCTAAGTATGCACATATTTAGAACAGAGTAGCAGTAGGCCATATCACATTTTTGGGAATTAGGTATAACATATTTTTCCCCACTTGTCCAACTTAGGTCTGGAATTCCTTTGGAATGTTTTAGGTAGTTTCTATGAGGACTACTTTAGGTCAGCTACAACTTGACTTTGCCTATGATACAAATATGGTGAGGAAAGCAAGTGATGCATGTTTTAAATAGAATAAATTAAAATAAATCTGCATCTTGATTCTGATCGTGTTGGAGTAACGGGTGCTTATTTAACCCTCCTGCTGTAAAAAACTAGAAATGTGGGAGTGGTAGTGGTAACTCCTGCCTAGTGTGAAAAGGCCCTGATTTCAATCCGCAGTATCATCAACAAAACAAAACCATCACAAACAAAGAACATAACATTATGAAAACAAAAGCAAAAACACAGACTGGAAGAAAATATTTGTAATGTATCTATTTGGCCATTTAGAAATATCCAGGATAAATAGTAGCTCTGGTTTTTCAATCAAATCAGTGATTATGTGGGGCTAAAGATGGAAGGTGGGATTGACTACAAGGGGTGTGAGGAAATATTTTGAAGTGATGAAAATATTCTCTATCTCTGTTGTGATAGTTAAATGAGTGTACGCTCTTATCAGATCTCAAGTTGTATACTTAAATTTGGTGAATTTTATAGCATGTGAATTATACTTGAATACAGATCATATTAAAATGATATATCTTTGAATTAGATGTCATATTTTATGATTTGAGATAATAGGTTTACTTTTGGAAAGATTGGAATAATTTTCACTTAAAAAATTGAAATCACCACCAAGCAGCTTCATTCTTAAGTTTGGGTTTCTTAGTTTTGTTATACCATCTGTGAACTTCATAATTAAAGTCATGCTTCTATAATAGGTAACTCAATTAACAGAGAAGCTGAAGAATCAGTCAGAAAGTCATAAGCAAGCCCAGGAGAATTTACATGACCAGGTCCAGGAGCAGAAGGCGCACCTCAGAGCTGCACAAGACCGCGTCCTTTCCCTTGAAACCAGTGTCAGTGAATTAAGTAGTCAGTTAAATGAAAGCAAGGAGAAGGTCTCCCAGCTTGACATACAGGTAACACAGTATTAAAATGCTGTCAGTGTGTTTGTATGAATAGAACATTGATTTTAGACTGTCAGTGTTTTGAATTCTTTTTTTGCCTTACATAGTAATAGAAAAACTTGGGACTAGCAATCAGATAAAGTGTCGAGAGAATTTGTTGAGCCATCTGCTTTGCACAGGCATTTTTTTTTCTTTCTCACCCTTTCTCTTTTCTCTCTCTAAATAAACTACATCTCCTGAAATCACTGGATCTTTTAGCTTTTTCTTTGTTTTGATTGAGTCCTAGTTATTGCTTTGGAAGTACAATTTACTTTGATACTGTATTATACTGTTAGCTTTCTATATTAAATATTTTTAAAGTTTTTATTTCTAAAGTCTTTACAGGTTTGATTAAAAAATACATACATGTTACCATTTTGTATTTTAATTACATTTTTTTGCAAATCTATGGAGCAGTCTTGCTCAAGGAGTCAGTCCTGGTGTGGGAAGTAAGACCTATTTCTTTTTCCATTCTCATCACTGGTTTTTTTATTCTGTATGATAAAAATTTATAGAAACATTTCTAAGCTTTTATTTTATTTTAGGAGAATGATCCCATTGGAAATAAATGTAATAAATGTACTTCCTAGAACTCAGAGATACTATATTTTTCCTTTTTTAAATACAGTTATTTGTGAGATAATTTGTATGAAAACCTGAGATTATTTTGTAAAGTAGGATATATAGCTTTATTTGTCTTTCAGGAATTAAGAGTCTGATAAAAACCTAATGCTTTAAATGGCATTATTAATAAAAATACCAACCGGAAGTGCTTAGCTAAAGAATACTGGTGGTGGCTTTTTAAAAAATATATTAAAGGCATTTCCCACTCCATGCTCCTTTAATTATGTAAGGGTGGTTTTTCAGCTGTTTGCCAGTTCTGATTTCTGTAACATACTTTTAATCCCTGCTTTCAAGATGCTTCCTAGTAACATGATGAGGGCAACGCCAAGAAAAATGCTACTCGTGTGTAGCATGGGGCTGCTCCCGGTGTTCACTGCAGTTCTAAGGGGTTTCCTGCATAGGGTGCAGCAATTGCAGTGATTGGCACGCAGTCTAAACTGACTGCCTGTTAGGGTTGTGCAGGGCTGGCCCAAAGTGGCTGCATACTTCCCTCCGCAGAAGCATTTCTTAAATAGTGCAGACCAGGAGAGCTGTTAAGTCATCCCTGCAAATCTCTTTGTATTACATCACTTTGGGAATCATAGCACATTAGTTGAAGTATACTTTACTGAAAGATCATAAGCAGTTATCATGTAGTAAAATATTTCATGAATTTTTTAGTTCCTCAGAAAGATAAAATGCCATATGTAAATGAAGCTGAATTCATGAAAATAAGTTCTTTATAATCTCTGATACATATTTGTTGGTTAGTATAGGTTTATTTCCTATTCTTTAAGGTGTAGATTTATTCAGCTTTCACTTTTAATTCAGTGTAGATACATGTGCCTTGATACAACCGTTGTTTCTGTGATAATTATTTAGTTGAGAAATATTGTTTTTTGCTTTTGCTTAAAATTACCCCATACAGTATATATTTTAGATTTTCATTGATCTTTTCTTCAGCTAGCTAAAAGACTGTCTCTCCTTTTTCCATCTTTCTCAAAATGCTTTAATTTTAGATGTGTCTGTAGTAATGAGTTTTAATAGTTGTTTAAATGCTTAGGTATAGTGGCACATGCCTATAATTCTAGCACCTGAGAGGCTGAGACAGGTGGATGGATAGTTCAAGATCAGCCTGGGCTATATATTGAGAACATGTCAGAAAAAATAAGTTATTTAAAATACATAAAAGTATTAAAAGTACTTTTGATAATAAGGTGCAACTCTGTTAGATTCTATTTAAAGCTTATGTTAAGCCTTGAGGTTTTTTTGTTTTTGTTTGTTTTTTTGTACCAGGAATCAAGCCCAGGTCCTTGCACTTGCCAGGCAGGTGCTGTGCTGCTCAGCTATGTCCCTGGCCCAAGGCCTTGAGTTTTTAAATGAATAATTTCCCAACTTTATAAGCATCAAAAGTAAAACCCTTTTGGTGAGCAGTTATCAGGGAATAGCACATTTCAAACAGCTCTAGATCTAGTTTTTCTTGGCATTTTGAGTTCTTGGATTCTAGAATTTTTTTTTATTATTTTTGAACCATCACTTTCTTTGGCATAGTTACTGTAATGTTGTAATGTTTATTGTAATGTTGGTAGACTCCACATATTTCCTTCTGAAAAATATAGTGGCCCTTGTCAGTTACAAAAGTGTATCACATTTCTTTCCTTCCAGGGAGGCTGCTATAGTGTCGGTGTCATATAGAAACATCTTCATATCGCTTATCTAAACATTGTCAGTCTTTCCTTCCACACATTCCTACTTGAGGAATTTTTTATTAGTATATGTTTGCAGTGCGTAACATTTATGTTCCTTGTGTAGAGTTGCTACACGTATACAACATATATTAATTTCTTCTTATTTTAACCAAGACTTAATTTTTAAATAGTTTTGTGACAAAAGCAATGTGCACTCAAGCACAGGTAGGTCAGTAGTTAAACATGGAAATAAATAATTCCTAAATTTTTGTTACAGATTAAAGCCAAAACCGAATTATTGCTATCAGCAGAAGCAGCAAAGACTGCTCAAAGAGCAGATCTTCAAAACCACTTGGACACAGCTCAGAATGCATTACAAGATAAACAGCAGGTAGAGAACTTGATGCAATTTCATATCATAACCTAGTGCTTTCATATATAAATTGTAAAAATGTGAAAATGATACTCAACTTCGTATAACCTTAGGATAGATTTGCTTATCTCCCTTATTTCCTCCCTGAGGTCAGAACCAGTTGACCAGTGGATGCAGGAATTAGACAGATAGAGGTAAAAATATCAACTTTGTTTTGATAGATCTCAACTAGTGTTCAGGTGTGGTTGGAATCTGGCTTCCTGGAATTGTATTGTATTTCTTCCCTAGATGAGGTTTGGACATAGACCTGAAATAATTAGTCCAAACTGTTGGTTTATCCCATCAAGCAGCAATGATAGGGAGAGAGGGAGAGACCTGCATATTTGTTTTTAGTAGGTGGAATGGACCATGACCCAGATCTGTTTATTACTTGAAGCAGGAAAAGAGCAATATGCCTTCCATCTCAGTTGTAAGCTTTACCCTTTTTCTTGGGGGTAGAAGGAAGTCAGGGGCTGAGGGAGTAATAGAAGTTACTTCTGATACAGCAGAAGGTTCAAATGTAGGCTGAAGACTAAAGTGTTAATAGTTTTTTTGTCAGGGGAGTTTTTAGAACTTAGTCAAGAAGTAATACTGGTTATTGGTCCATTAAAAAACAATACAGATGAATTTCAAATAAAAAAGGCAAAAAAAATTTTTTTTAAATAAAAAAGGCAAAAAAATTTTTTAAAAAATATTTAACCTTTATTCTAATCTTAGTATTCTCCTTAGATGGAATTTTTGTTACTGAATTTAATATGTATTCTACCAGACCTTTATATGCATTGAGAAATATATGTGTGTTTATAGGTTTGTGTACAGGTCCAGAGGTATTTTCTTTATGCAAATGGAATCACCCAATTTGTGTGGTTCTACAGCTTGCTGTTAATGCACAGTATTGCTAACCATATCCAGAAAGCATTTTTAAGCCTGGGATCAGAGTCAGTAAATATAATGGAGAGATTATTTTAAGAAATATCATATAAAAGTTTAAAATTTATCTGGCAGAATATTATTAACAAAATTGTAAAGCAAATAAAAGATACAATATTTTCTGGGATATGTCTGATAAAGTGTTAATGTCTTTGTTATTTAAATCAGTTTTAAGTAACAAATAAGTGAATTGGCAAGAAAATACAGGTCATTATTAGTTGAAAATTTTGAAGTCTGAAATGAGCAAACTCTAAAACTTTTTGTGCATTCTCTAGATCAGTGGTGGTGAACCTTTTAGAGATGGAGTGCCCAAACTGCAACCCAAAACCCACTTATTTATTGCAAAGTGTCAATACTATAATTAAACCTGAATACTGAGGCTTTAGTTCAGAAAGAATAACTGTTGTCTGGTGCTCTGCTGCTGGGACGACTTGGCTCGTGTGTCTGCTATAGCACAGGTGCATAACTTCACCACCATTGGTTCAGATAGATCTTGGAGCATTTAGAACGTTGGACTTCCAGTTACAGATGTTCAGCCTGTCTGTGCAAATATACAAAATTTGAGAAAATATGAAATCTGAAACATTTCTGGTCCCAAGCACTTCATCTAAGGTATACTCAACGTATATACATGTTCCGAACTATATTAGGAAATGTTAAAGTTCATTAAGAATTGATGACAAATGGAGACAGTACTAACAGGATACATTTACCCTCACAGAGGAAAAGTGTGTGTGTGTGTGTTATTACCAGAGGAAGGACTGGAGAAGGTATGGAAGAACAAGCCACTGTAACACATTGCTAGCATACATTAGTTGAACCTTTTGGGTGGGAGGAAGTGGAGAGGTGTTTAGTAATATATTTCAAAAACTTTAGAATTTTTCATTTCTTTAGCTCATTTATAGTCTTATCATAGCTTCAGAGATTCTCTTTGCATCTCTGTTAATAAATTAAAAAATTTAATACCACTCTAAGGATCTAAAGCATATTTAGCTGAAGAATTGCTACATTTATAAAATGGAAATTTATGCAGTAGAATATTATATTTTAGAAAAATAAATCTGAAAGTTTTATTATGCATTAAAAAAAGGATGTTAAAGTAGTGTGTAAAGTGAGATCCTATTTTTATTTTAGAAGTCCAAAAAAAATAGAAATTAGCATATAGAAAATACATGAAGAAAGTTACTAAAATATTACCACAGTTACTCATGAGTGATGGGTTCACTAGTGATTTTTATTTTGTTCACTATGTACAGTAGCATATTCCAAATGAATTGAACAAATATTACAGGTATGATTACTGCAGTGTTTTTAAAATACTATTTTTATTTTTTTTGGTACTGGGAGTCGAACTCAGGACCCTGTACTTGCCAGACAGGTATTTGTTGCTGAGCTATATCCCCAGCCTAAGATACTATTTTTAAATGGTGTTTTGAACATTTGAAACATTTAGTGCAAAAGTTATTTTATTATTAAGCTCCTTAATAGTCTATATATTTTGACTCCTAAATAACTTTAGAAAAACATTAAAAAGTTGTTCAAGTGGGCTGGGGATGTCCCTAAGCAGAGTACTTGGCTCACACACATTTGGCCCTGGGTTACTACCCGGCACTGCAGACGAAAAACAAAAGTTATGTAAGTGTTGTACCCGATATCTCACTCCACGTATGTAAAACTTCAGTCCTGTACACTGGTAGCTTAAAATAACCTCTGACATACCATTGAACTTATTCAAGGTCTTATTCCACATACTTCAGTGAAATTATGGAGTTTTCAACTCCATAATTGTATTGAACATTTGAGGACTACAAGATAGTAAACCTTATCAAAGTTTTCTTCAATTGTGCTTTTTCTGTAGGAGTTAAATAAAATCATTACACAGTTGGATCAGGTCACTGCAAAGTTGCAAGATAAGCAGGAGCATTGCAGTCAGTTGGAAAGTCATCTTAAAGAATATAAAGAGAAACATCTTTCTTTAGAACAAAAAACTGAAGAGCTAGAAGGTCAAATTAAGGTTTGTATAAAACTTGAATTTAGACATATTTTCTCTTCATAGCATTGGAATTTATGATGGTCTGCCTGAAATCAGATTTTTAGTTAACAAAGATTAAGTTGTGTTATAAACTTGAAAGAATTTACTTGTCTTTTTTCATCTTAATTTTGAATCCATCTTTATTTTTAACTTCTTCATCAATGGGTGTCTTTTGTAAAAATCACAGCTAACATATGTACTGATTTCATTGTGGAGTATTTCCAAGGACAACCAACCAGGCAAAAGTATTTACTGATTTTTTTTCTGTTGTAAAATCTCTTCTGTTCTTTGCTTTTTCCGTGTCTCTATCTCATTCCAGTATAATATTTCAGATATGGTAAGCTTTAAAAATTTTTTGTACTTTTGTACCCTTCTGATTTAATACATTTTAGGGCATGGTAAACTGAATCTCACTTTATCACAATTCCAAGTAGTGGTTTATTTTACTACAGAGATGAAATGACCAGACCAGTGATGATGAACCTTTTAGAGCTTTCACTGATACGCACAGCCTTTTGAGGCATGCGTGCTGTAGGTTCGCCACCACTGTATTAGACATACCCATTTTAGTTACTTTCTCACTGCTGGATAAAATACCCAATATCCACAACTTAAAGGAGGAGAGGTTTATTTTAGCTCACGGCTTTAGTCCATGGTCAGGTGGCTCCAAGGCAGAAACGATGGCAAAGAGGCTGGGCAGAGGAAAAGGTGCTCAGATAGTCACAAATTAGAAGCAGAGGGAAGGAAGGAGCCAGGAGCAAGCACACACCCTTCTGGGGACACAGTGGCCTGCCTCCAACCAGGCACTCTTCCTAACAGCATCTTCAGATATGAACTCGTCAGTGGATGAATTTACTGATGAAGAAAGTGGCCGCCATAGTCCCATCACCTTCTACTCACATGAGAATTTGGGGGAACATTTTAAATCTAAACTGTAACAGTGTTAGGGGATGATCGGCTGTAAGTCTTTTGCCCTTTGATTAAAAGTACGATCAGTTCTACAATCAGATGAAGCATGGGTATGTGGATCATAGAAGCTTGGATCTGTGTACGTGTACATCCATACCAATGTAACATGGGAGAAGAGCGACTTTTACAGTTTTGTTTATAGTTAGTGGTTGTGTCCAACAGCAATAACAATGACAAATTAGGTACAGCTGAAAACAGTGGAATAATGTTTTAATGAAGAAATGACTGTTGAGATTTTGGAGGGACTTATTTAAAAATGTTATTTAGAACTGAGAGTGTCTATTGCTAGTTTAGAAGTGTTCCATATATTTTGTATAAACATTGTAGAATTAATTTATGACATCAAAACCTTTCCTTTCATGAGAATTTTTAAAATCGGTTTTGTAGTAGCCATGGGTACCAGTTGATTTATAAAACATTTAAGTGTGCAAAGTCATTATGACTGTGCAAGAAAATGTATTGCTTTTAGTTATTCCGACTTATATTTAACAATTTGATCTTGTAAGTTTATAAAATTACATAACTATGTGAATACGTATGAGGTGTATACTACACTGAAGAATAGCAGTAACATCTAAAATAAGATTATGAGGCAAAATCAAGAATTTCATTGGCTCTGTATTTACAATCAGTAGATGAGGATTACTTGACAACTACTTTTTGATAATTGTGAATATAAAGATATTTTTAGTGGGTACATAGGTGACTTGTTACATATTTTTTTTCAAATGGGATAATAACTTTTCCTGTGGTAATGAATATTTAGGTTTATTCTCCTGTTTGGAATCAATATGGAAATAGTGACTATACTGTGCAAAGCTGGTGTTGAATATGTATAAATTTTATGATAGGTCCTTTTGAAAGATTCTAAAATGAGTCAACCTTTTGATTCAGTGACGGTTTTAGAATGAGTTTGTTACTATAACATACATTTTTATGATTATTTTTATGTGTTGTAACAATACCAATTTGAATATAAGTAAAAATTATCAGCATATAATATTTAATAGTAGATTGATAATCAGCAACATTAAAATGGCTGCTATGTTATATTTCGTCCATAGAAAATAGAAGCTGAAACTCTTGAAGTTAAAGCAAGCAAGGAGCAAAGCTTGCAGGACCTCCAGCAGCAAAGAAAGCTGAACACAGATTTAGAACTTAGGACCACAGAACTGAGTAAACAACTTGAAATGGAGAAAGAAATGTAAGCTAAACTCTCTCACTTTAAAATTAAGGGAGCGGATTATGAACCAAGTATTCTCAATCTTGTTATAATCCTTAATGAGTTAAGTATTTCTTTTGTGTTGACATTATAAACTTCTGATATTAATGTGAATGAAAAATAATGTGGCCAGGGTTAATTTCACTGTAAAAAACTAAAAACTTAGTTTTATAAAATTTGGGTCAGGTAGTCTATTTTCAACAAAAGTACCCATTTTACTCTTTTTTTTTTTTAATTTTTTTTAGGCAATGTCTCACTATTTAGGCCTTTTATGCCTTTGTTATTGCTGGCTAGGACTTCCAGTAAAATTTGGAATGTAAATTTTATAGCAGATATCATTGCACTGTTTACAGTTCTGGCAAGAAATAATAAATTTTCATCAAGTTTGGGATTGGCTATAGAAGTTTTCCTTGTATTTACTTTATTAGACTGGTGATGTTTCCTTCTATACCTAATTTTCTTAAAGTTTGTTTAAAAATTTGCCTGAATTTTATCAACTTTTTTTCCCAGATCTGGTGATATGATTATGTATTTTTTCTTTGATCTGTTAGTATGGTGAATTATAATTGACTGATTTTTCTCGTAGTAAACCAACCTTGCTTTTATGTGATGCGTTCCACTTGACCATGCTGTAGTATCCCTTTTATATGTTGCTGTCTTAATTTAGTAATACTGTGGGCCCTCCAATCTGTGGGTTCCACATCTGTGGGATCAACAACTGAGGATCCAATATATTCAGAAAAAAATTGTGGTTATACTGAACATATATTGAACTTTTTCTTTGTCATTATTATCTGAACAATATAGTATAACAGCTCTTTATATAGCATTTATATTATATCAGGTAGCATAAGTAGTCTAGAGATAAAGTGTGCAAGAGAATATGCATAGGTTAAAAAAAATACCATTTTAGATGAGCATCTACAGATTTTGATATTTCTGAGGGTCCTAGAACCAGTTCTCAGTGGATACTGAGGACAGTTCTGCTTCATTAGGAATTTTTTAGGCATTTATGGCTATTTGTTTGTAATTTTTTTAATACTATCATCAGATTTCATTTGAACTACTGGCCATAGAAAGGAATTAAGTATTTCCTCCTCTACTTTTGACAAAGTTTTTACGTAGTGAATATTATGTACTACTTAAATGTTTAATAAAATTTATCAGTGAACAAGCTGGGCCTGAAATTCTCTTCGGCTGCTTTATTTAGAATTTAATTTTAAGTAAATTAAGTACGGGTTCAGTGTTTTGTAATTCTGTCATTTTTCTTGAGTCGGCTTGGTAGTTTGGATCTTGCAGTGAATTTGTCCATTTCATCTAAACTTCAAATTTATTGGCATAATAAACTTGAAATGTCTGTGGGATCTATAACATTCATTTTCATTCTTAATAGTGGTCATTTGTCATATTTCTTTTTTTTTTATTTTAAAGACAAAAAGAACAAAAACATCTTAACAAACATATATAATTTAGAAAATAACACAAAACAATACAAGCAATGTAGAATCTCAAAATTTGTCATATTTCTTAATGAATCTAATTAGAGATTTATCAATTTTACAAGATTTTTACAAGAAGCTTTAGAATTAATTGAATTTTTTGTTCAGTTTCTATTTCATTCATATCTCCACATATCTTATATTTTTTCCTTTGAGTTTGGGTTTAGGTTTTTAAAAATAGCCTTTTATTGTGAAGGTTTCCCTGTGGTTGTCTACCTTGTGTCATATGTTTTTTGTTTTTCCTCAGCTCCTCACTCCCTTTATATTCGTCAATGTAGGTGTCACATTTCTGTAGGTAGTAGTACATTGTCTTGGAAGAATGATGCCTGTTTTTTAATTGGCACTACATAGGAAAGGAAGGCCGTATCTCTTTTACTATTACTTCGTGTAAACGTATTTGGGGTTTAACTAAAACGTGCTGCTGTGCTTAGGGTTCAGCCCAATTATAACAGGGTACTAACTCCCCTTTCACAGGGACCACCTGTGTGTGTGCACGTATGTTCATGCACCCAGCCCTTTCCTTCAGTACCTGTCTTATAATGTGCTTCATTACTCTGAATTTTAGAATACATATTTTCTAATTTTCTTTTTCTTCCTCTTTT